TGGTCTTGCCATGCCTTTGTTGGATGTCTTTTTGGCCCCTCATATTGTAGTCCACTCCTTGCATTGCAGTCCCATTTGTTGTGAGAGTGCACTCATAGGCTGTAACTGTGGGCACCATGATAAACCATTGTTTATCATGATGGGGGGAAACCTGCAGCAAACCTTGGGGTCAAATGTTTCCCCTTTCCCACTCCTCCTTGGAGTGCAGCCATGAGGAGGAGTTTGGAAGCTTTCACTTCTGTTTTTGATTAACCACAGTTTTAGCATCACATTTACCCCCTAAACTGTGGTTAGCCTTAACTGTGGTTTGAAACAAGCTTCATAACCCATTATTTGACATTTACTTCTTTCATAGAAACCACAGTTAAGATTAATCACAGTTTGTCAGATTCTGGTGAGATAACAAGCTATGGTTAATTTTTTAAAAATGGAAATGACAGCTTCCAAGCTACTCCTTATGAACACACCAGAGAGTAACAGGGATCACGTAACCCCAAGGCTAGCTGTGGCACATTCCTGTCACAGTAAACAATGGTCTGAACGCAGCCATAGTCATTCATTTTCAGATCATTTGGTTATGCCTCCCAGTCACTTATGAACATCATCTTCATATGGTGGCTGCTGCTACATTTTACTGAAACTTTTAATACTGCGAAGACACTGCCTTGCTTACAAGCTATCTGTGCAAGCCTTTTTGGTTCTGTCTTCCCCAGCACTGAAATGTGTGCATGAATGCTGTTTGCATTTATTAATGGGGAAAATTGTGCCTCGGTTAACTCATTTGTAAAAGCAGATTTTCTCCATCATAAACAATATAATGGAGTTGACAGATAGTTGGTCTGGCTTTTTTTCAGAGCTATGTTGATCAAATACTTAAGCTTCATTAGGCATATCCATACTACAGCTTCCCCCAAAGCATGCTGGGAACGGTATCTTGGCAAGGGTGCTAAGAATTCTCTGCTGGAGATCCTTAGTCATTTCCTCGCCCCAAAGAACTGTATTTCCCTGGTGAGAGGGAACGACTGTTAAATATTAGATATTGTAATGGTGGTTTTGGCCTAGGCTAAATTATGCAGGAGAGCGGCCATAGATCAGTGGTATAAAACATCATTTCCATGTCGAAAGTCAAGCCCCGGCATTCCCACCAAAGGGAACCCAGGCAACCAGCCCTTGCGGTCTGTACATTTGTACTATTTATAATGGTGTTATATGTTTTATTGTATACATACATTGCTGTCTACCACCCCAACATATTGCAGTATATAAATACTTTTATGAATCTAGAAACATAGGAAGCTGCCGCATACCAGGCCAGGTCATTTGTGGATGTAGCTCTGTGCTATCATCACTGACTGTTTGCAGCTTCCCAGGGTTTCAGGTAGGAGTCCTTTCCAGCCCTACCTGGTGACACCAGGGATTATCCGGGGACCTTTTGAGTATGAAGCATGTGCTCTGCCACTGACCTATGGATGTTCCCTGGGACAAATCCTTACTTCTGTAAGGTAGAGCAGGCAGCACTGGACATGACTGACCAACATTAACTTTATCCCTGGGCCACTGAGGAATTTACATGTTTACTGCAGCAGGCAGCCAAAGTGTGAGGGGGAGATGTGCACCTCCAGAAATGCAGGGGGCCGCAGCTAATCTGATTGGGCAAGTTTTTAGGGGTGGCATATCTCCACATATTGCATGTTTTACTGCAGCAAACACCAACCAGAAGCTGCTGCACCTCCTGTGTTGTTTGTTGTGCCTCTGAGTCAGAGAAGCTGCAGCTGGGATTTCCACCTCCCTCCACCTCTCCACCCCAAGTCTTTGGTCATAATAATAGGCTATACATGGGAAAAGGAGAAATGTGGCAGTAATGTGCAGAGTTGCACTAAGCCTTTCTCTTTAGCAGTTGCACAATGAGATAAATATTAACAGTGAAGAGAGTGTTTGCTCCAGAATAGGTAATAGGACGGGTTCCAGAGTAGGTGATACAGGCTCTATGACCCCTCCCCTTCTTTCTCTAGTACTCTCTTTCCTACCAAAGGGAAAAAATGCATTCCATGATGTAACGAGACAAGTTGTGCTTCAAAATTGTTTAAAAACAAGCAGTCTGATGCACCATTGCACAGTACAACCTGGTTGCATAACTGAGGCTTCTGGTTATGGATTTGGTTGTCCTTGTTACAAAATTTGGATTTGAAATCCGTTGGGGTTGGCAATAATTAATCTCTATCAGTACTGAAAGTGCAGTGTACCTTGCCATACTAGAAATACAAATACTGAAGGTCAGGTGATACTATACGCAGCATAAAATAACATTAGAGTGCTGTAGTCAGCTGAGTCAAGTGTCCCTGCAATCTTAAGGTTATGTATGGAATCGTTTTTGCTGTGTTAAACTATTGTGCAGCCTGATTCTATGTGTGTTTACTGGAAATGCCATTGAGTTCCATGAGACTTCAAGTGAACGTGCAAAGGACTGGGGCTTTAGTACCATCTTGACAGCACAAAACAACCCCTGAAATTTCAGTCTTGTGTGGTTTTGACCTGATAAATTGATAGTCCAGATTTCCTCAACTGAAATGCTTGACCCCTTGAGGAGAGTGGTTCATGCAGGGGGGCACGGAATGAGAAGTTAGCTGATACCAACACTATTTAAATGACATTTATACCACTTTAACAGTCATATAGCTTCCCTCAAAGAATTGTGGGGACTGTAGTTGACCACTCAAAGAACTACAATTCCCAGCACCCTTAACAGGCTACAGTTCCCAGGATTCTTTGGGGGAAACAATGTGCTTTAAATATAATTTGTGGATGTGGCTTGTGTCTCCTTAACCCTTCTACAGCAGCACAATTTTATTTATAATTATGAGGATGGAAACATATCTGTATTGCAGGGATAACTTAAGATTTCAGGCCTAAGTAGGCAGCGCATTGCAAATGTCTGGTGAATTTCTACCTCCTGTAAGGGTTCTTGGTGGAGAGAAGACACCAAGCAGGTGAGAACTTGAAACTTAAAAGGTTTGAGATTCAGTTAGGTAGCCGTGTTGGTCTGACGCAGTTGAAACATATAAGAAAATTCAGATACCTGAAGAAGTGTGCATGCACACGAAAGCTTATACCAAGAACAAACTTAGTTGGTCTCTAAGGTGCTACTGGACTTTTTTTTTTTAATGTTTTAAAAGATTTGAGTTACATGCATATGAATTAAGCTGTCATATAGTCATGGCGAATATAAAATGCTTGAAATGCAAGCAACTGATAGCAAATGTTAGCATAGGTTAAGCCCCAAGTAAGTGGTGCAGTTTCTTCCAACTGTGTTTCTACAAACTGTGGGATAGTTTTAGTGAGGGGCCCAGAGAAGAAGATCTGACTCTGAAGTAGCCTCCCAAAAGCATGAGGGAAGTGAATGTGTTTGCCACAAACTCTTATATTAAAGCCCTCTGCTCTATGGCTTTGCAGTCATTTATATAACACACACACACATGCACCTGTCTACTATTAAACGTAGACGTACAGCACTATCTGCATTGCATTCTATTGCAGATTATTTTTAGGTATTGCTAAGAAGTGCTAGATAAAGCTGCTGTGTCCTCTGTGAAATGAGGAGAGCAGCAGTATGGAACAGGTAGATCATTAATGATTTAGAAGGCAAATGTTGGTATTCATACAGGTCTCGCTCTGTTAATTGCCCAAATGTGGAGGCACAACAAATTGGTGCTAAATTAAAGTTTAATAGAAATTAATTGGAATGGAATGGTTTGCATTTTTTAGTTTTTTTAATTGGTTCACCATTGCTGCTGTTACTCATGTTTCCAGGAATCTTGTAAGAGCATTTCTGCTTTCTAGCACTGTTATACTTGATACTTTACCTATTAAGGTTTTGCCGTTACTATCCATGACTGAGAATTATGAACTGATCCCTTAATTTCCTTAATTATTTTTGTCCCTGTTTCAGGAAAAGTGTTCAATCATATGTTTTGTGTGTGTGTGTTTTAAAAAACATGTTTATATTGACTGGAACACAACCCTAATTATGACATACCTACACACACACTATAATTACCATATCACTTGCTTCTAAAGATCTAGTCCTCTGTCTTATGTAGCACAGTTCTTTTTTGCAATAGCTATTTTTATTTAAAAGCTTCAGTGTGCAAAAATGTTAACAGGGCATCTGCATAATTCCACCTTTCTGTCAGTGTTTATTTCCACACGTTGAAGAAGTGATTGGCCTTGGTGAACTTAGCACTGGGTAAAAGCAAGATTAAAAATAAATAAATCTCAAAAAATAAAAATAAAAAATCATAGCCTATAACATTCAGTGCACAGGGGCTGACTGTTGCCAGCTTAAAGAAACTTCATTCTTTTCCCAGCTTGAGGAAGCTAAGGGCACATCTTGTAAATATGCACGTATGCAAGTGTTGTTTTTAAAGTGCACACCTAAGTATGTATGAATAAGACAAAAAATGTTGAAAATGCAGACATCCTACAGGTATCCTCAACAGAGAGCCAGATACCTCCCTGTTGCATTTACACTTGGTGGCAAACCTGGTATTTTTACTATATTCTGTGCGAAATGGTCTAATCTGAGAGGCACTCTTGACTAATCTCTGTGTCATGTTACTTTACATGTTCCTATTAAGAAATGGCTGGACAGCCACCTCACTTTCCTCTACAAATTAGAGTTTGGCATGTTGTGATGGAAGCAAAATGGCAGCCCATTCCCATCTGTAGTTGCTGTTGTAGAATTTGGCAATGGCTCTCTTACTCACTGCAGATGACACCTGTCAGGGGATAAGGAGGGTTCTCTGGTGTCTTGGGGGTTGCGGAAGAAAGGATTTTAACAAATAATTTGCATGAGTATGAAGTGTACTCTGGGAACCTGGTTTTGAGACACCTAAGGGAAATGCTGTGCATGGAATATAGGGTGGTTTTTTGTTTTCCTTTTACTTTTTACACACAGAGGATGAGATTTAATTTTCATTTAAGCCAATGCGTGTTTATTCCAGGTCCGATGTTGTTGTCCTGTGTTTTTCCATTGCTAACCCTAATTCCCTGAATCATGTGAAAACCATGTGGTATCAAGAAATCAAGCATTTCTGTCCTCGCACACCTGTTATTCTGGTTGGTTGCCAACTGGATCTTCGATATGCTGATCTGGAAGCTGTAAACCGAGCCAGGCGGCCATTAGCAAGGTAAAGTTGGCTTCAATATTCAGTAGGAGAAATCCATGTTTCCAATTGACAATATTAGTATGCACCCCAGCTTCTGGGGAGTATGTAGTCTTCTGCCTCCTAAATCAGGAGTGGCTCATCTTTTTCTTATAAAGGTCCATTGGCTAATGGCAAAAGCCAATCAGGAGCCAAAGTTAGTGGTGGGTGGAGCCATAACCAAAAGGGGGCAGTGCTTGCAGGATTGCATAGCTCCAGGTGGGCAGCCTGGGGCCCCCCAGATATTGTTGGACTACAGCTCTCTTCAGCCCAGGCAGCAGGGTCCAGTAGTCAAGGATGATGGGAGTTGTAGTGTAACAACATCAGGTTGCCCACTGCTGCCAAAACTCTTTAATCTGTCGGTGCCACCACATCTTTTCTCTTACATGTGTGCAGATGCAAAGAGGAAGCAATTCTCAGAACAGTGGTCTGGACAGTAAGAGCTGGATGATGCTGAGGGCTATGCAAGCTTATGCCTACAGATTCTCTGCCCCTGTCCTAACAGTATATATCAGAGATGGGGAATCTTTGGCTCTCCAGGTGTTCAGGGACTCCAACTCCCATCAGTCCCAGCCAGCATGGCCACTGGTGAGAAGTCATGGAAGTTGTAGTCCAGCAACATCTGAAGGGCCACTGGTTCCCCATCCCCATATATGACACCTTGCTTTATACTGTGTCAGGTTGTTGGTTCATATAACACTATACTCTCTGTTCCACCTGACAGTGAATCTCCAAGATCTTAAGGAGAAGTCTTAACCAGTCCTGCAGCCTAGTACCCTATAACTGCTTGGATTGAACCAAATGGCTCTAAAGCATATTTTCTGCTGCTGAGGTCCAGGTTTCACCTCACATTTAGACTACTGTAATGCCCTCTATGTGGGGCTTCCCTTATGACTGGTCCAGAGACTGCATCTGGTGCTGAATGTTGTGCCCTGGGTGGTAATTGGTGCACATCATGTTGTTGGTGAGGGGACCTGCAGCGTATTAGCCACTGAGGCAGTTTTAGTGTCTTGTTACTCACATATAAAGCCCTAAATAACTCTGGACCAGATCACCTGACAGGCCGACTTCCCCTTCATTGCCCAGTAAGGGTATTAAGATCACCAAGTGGATAGTCTTTTCCACACAGCCTGATGATTATCAGCTTAGGGTGACATGAAGATGGTCTTTTCCACTTGTAGCGTTGTGGAATGCATTTCCTGCTGAAATACAAGAGGCCCCATCTGTACTGGAATTCCACCAACCATTCCATTGACCAAAGTCTCCTCTTTTATTTGCTATGGGATTGTTTTATTGTATATTTTTAAAAATATGTACTTTAGCAGTGTTGTGCAATTGGTTTTTATGTTTCATAAAGTGCTTTAAAACCATCAGGGAATTAAGTGATATATTATTATTATTATTATTATTATTATTATTATTATTATTACTACTACTACTACTACCCATGCATAGGTGTATTTCAATGAGATATGGAAGCCATATCCAGCTCTCATGAGCTACTTGTCTGTTTGTTTACTTCACAGGCCTATCAAACGGGGAGACATCTTGCCACCAGAAAGAGGCAGAGAAGTTGCCAAGGAGCTTGGGATACCATATTACGAAACCAGTGTATTTGACCAGTTTGGTGTCAAGGATGTGTTTGATAATGCCATTAGAGCTGCCCTGATCTCCAGGAGACATCTACAGTTCTGGAAATCGCATTTGAAGAAAGTTCAGAAGCCTTTGCTTCAAGCTCCATTTCTACCTCCAAAGGCACCTCCTCCGGTTATCAAAATCCCAGAGTGTCCCATCACCAGTATCAATGAAGCTGGATACTTATTGGACAATCCATTGTGTGCAGATGTCATGTTTATCCTCCAGGAAGATACTCACATTTTTGCTCACAAGATCTACCTAGCTACCTCCTCTTCGAAGTTTTATGACCTTTTTTTAATGGAATGTGAAGAAACCCCAGACTTATCTGAAACTCCTTGCAATAAAGAAAGGGCCAGTAGAAGCTTTATGGCCAGAAAATGCAGCCTTGAAACAGATGAGAGTAGTGAGATGGCAACCTTAAAATCTTCTAATGCCAAACTCACATCATTAGCAGGTGGTGGTAACCCTTTAACAAGGTTAGAGCTTGAAGCAGGGGAAGTCAGTTGCCTGAAGCAAGCGCCAACATTTTTGGGCAAAGGCTTTGTTAGCATGCATAGAGAAATGCAAGTCAACCCTGTTTCAAAGAGGACTTGTGCTGTAACAGTGGTCAAGATAGATGCTTCTATTCAGCCTGGGCCTTTTAAAACTGTTCTGCAGTTTTTGTACACAGGGCAGCTGGATGAAAACGAGAAGGATCTTACCAGAGTAGCTCAGATTGCTGAGATATTGGAAGTGTTTGACCTGCGGATGATGGTGGAAAACATTACGAATAAGGAAGCCTTCATGAACCAGGAAATTACAAAGGCTTTCCATGTCAGAAAAGCTAACAGGATAAAAGAATGCCTCTCTAAAGAAACATTTTCTGGTGAGAATACATGAATACATCCTCATTATCCCTTTGAATTAATCCACAAAAGTCATCCAATCAATAGTTCCATATATAAAGCAATATATAACACTCAAGTAGGAGTCATTGGTCCAGTTCCAGCATCATAAACCCTACCAGGGACAGCAGCTCTATGTAAAGATGGAAGAGAAATTTGATCCAAAATGCAGTTAAAGCCAAATCTATCAAATCTGGACTTTCTGAAACAATATGCAAACCAAAACAAAGCTATCCTTCAAAATTCAAACTTCTCCAAGTTTTGTGATGCAGTTCTCCAATTAGTGTTTACAAAAATGCATATACTGGGGGAAATGAAGTTATTAGTGAAACTAAGGTGCAAAAATGCATTATATTGGGGATAATTGCTTGCAAAAATTTGCACATTGGTCAAAACTGCATATAAAATTACATTAGGAGAGATTTGTGGTAAAATGCTGGTGAATTTTCATGAGGATTTAAAAATAAAGTAAAATATCAAATTGCACTAATATGTGGGAAAAATCATTCTATCCCTAGCTCTATGGTACAGGCCCATGTAGGACGCAACATATGAGCTGTCTCCTGGTAGGGATTTGTGTGAGCATGCCAGCTTTTTTAAAAAAATGCTTCTACTGCATTGATGGAAATCATTGCCAGGAAGTATGCTGGCTGATATGTTACCTTCCTCCATGTGGTTGGGGCTACAGGTCCATGCTATGTGGAGGATTACAGAACCAGAGGCCATTGTGGTACAACAGGAAGTAATTAGAAGTGAATCTTGGATGTCCATACACATGATAGATGGCCTTGTGCAAATGTCTGTCAGCTGCAGTTCTGTGCCCGTTAAATGATAATATTAATAACCTCTCAGATGAGGGAGTGAAATAAGGGTTGTAGGCGCCGGATTCAGCTAGCCCATTCCACTAGCAGAAGGCAGTGCAAGGACTCCCACTAGTTCAGGCATAGGCAAACTTGGCCCTCCAGTTGTTTTGGGACTACAATTCCCAATATCCCTAGGTAACAGAACCAGTGGTCAGGGATGATGGGAGTTGTAGTCCCAAAGCATCAGGAGGGCCGAGTTTGCCTATGCCTGCACTAGAGCAACAGGGCTCCCCCCCCCCATCTCAGGGTGTGGCTCTTAAACCAGTTTAATTTAATGTAGACAAAACCATTAGTGTGCACAAGAAAAAGTAGAAATAACTAGAGGTCCACAGCAAAGATTTGGCTGGCTAGTTCAAATCAATACGAACCTGCGTCTAGGAATTAAAGTTGCATATGTACAGTGGCGTAGCGTGGGGGGTGCAGGGGGGGGCGGCCGCACCGGGCGCAACATCTGGGGTTAGGGCAAATCCATGGGTTAGGGGGCGCAAATCCACAGGTTAGGGGGCGCAAATCCACGGGTTAGGGGGCGCAAATTACTTGCCTTGCCCCGGGTGCTGACAACCTACGCTACGCCGCTGCATATGTACATCCTGTTTCATCCTTATGCAGGCAGACTGATTCATTAATATTTTTCTCTATAGCCCATTCCTAAGAACTAACATAACCAGGAATCAAGAACCTAAGAAGCTACCTTACACTGAGTCAAAGCATTACTCTATTTATATCAGAAACTTTGTGCACTGACTGGCAGGAGCTCTCCAGGGTTTCAGACAAAGATCTTTGGTCAGCCCTAAGTGGGAATGTTTAGTATCTTGGAAAGAATGTACACACCACTGAGCTACGCTCCTTAATTCTGAGACATGCATCCTCTTGGGTGAATTGCATGAAGTGTACAATGGAATATTGTCAGATGCTGGGTGCTGCCTGTATTCACATAAGCAAACGAATCGTGTCTGAGTGGACAAGTTTAAACTGTTTCCATTTGTGTATATGAAGCCTTCAGTGGCCAGACTTCCAAAAAGTGAAGAGTGCAAAGCTGTTCCTCCTCTGCCCAGGTTTTAATGGTCATCTGTGTCTCCCTTAGAAATAATTATTATGTGCCCTTTTGGATGCATTTGCAGTAATATTCGCGAGAGAGACAGCTGTGTAACGCCCTCCTCCAGTTTCTGTAATGCCCTCCTCCAGTTGTTGTATTTTGTCTCCAGGCACGTTCCACCATAGTTTATGGTTCTGTTTCTCTGATCCCATTGGCAGATGTGACGTTTAAGCTGGAAGATGGAAACATTAATGCTCACAAGCCGCTACTGATCTGTAGCTGTGAATGGATGTCTGCAATGTTTGGAGGATCGTTCATTGAAAGCTCAAACACTGAGGTACTTGTTCTCTTTGGTGTGTAGCCTCAATAATGTGCCATAAGCTTTCCCCTTTGGGTGGATAAATTGCAGTGGTTTAAACAAAGGGGACATTTTGCTGGAGTTTGTCATCACTACCCCAGAGAGCATTTTCAAAATGTTTTAGGTTCTAAGTGACTCCTTTCTCAAGAAATTTCAGTTGTTATGGTAATTTCTCTCTCTCTCATTTCCTAAATTTGAATTTTAAAGTAAATTAAATGTTGGTGTCCCTGTACTGTTGTTGTGTATAAGAGGATCGTTATAGATGAACTTTGGTGGGAGGAACTAGAAGAACAGGGAAACTCTTCAAGCCACTTTTCTGGGGGTCAAAGATAGAAGTGCCCTGGATGAAATTTGGTCTCCTGAGCAGTATTGTCTGGCTTCCTGATTTTTAACCCAAAGAGTGTGATCGGCATTTCTCGCACTAGGATTTTCCAGCAGGCCTTCTCTGGAAAATAGCAGTTTTGCCCCTTCTTCCCTGACTCTGCTATCAAAGCAGACATTCTGAAAGTCTCAATTGCTAGGCAGCACGTTATATCTTCAAATGGAATCATTGTGACATCTTGGACGGGTTCTAAATCTAGGCTACAAAATAAATGCATGTTGTATCATTCATGAAAATCACACCTAAGCAATAGCTTTTTCTCTGCCAAGTACACACCCGCAGGGGCCTGATCTTATTGGAAACATAATTAAATATCAAGCAAACTGCCTCATTTAGAGGAGGGTTTCTTTCCATCCATATGTTAATCCCATCCCTTCTGGGTTATTTTTGGTATTTGTCCGCAACCCCAGAGTCGTCCGCAACTGGACCTAATGGTCAGGGGTCCCTTTACCTTTATATCACCTTTCAATGTGGTTTGCATCATAAAACAAATTAAAATAATAAAATACAAATTCAACAGTGTAAGTAACAATTCAGTCAAAAAACCATCAGTGATGGGCTGCCTTCCCAGAGTGATAAGCCCCATCTGCCCCTTGCTTCCCTGTCACCGCAACTGCAAGCTGGAATGACTTGGTCAGTGGAGCATGACACTCTTAATCTCAGGGTCCCAGGTTCAAGACCCACCCTTGGCAAAAAAAAATTCCTGCATTGCAGTTGGTTGGACTAGATGACCCTTGTGGTCCCTTCCAGCTCTACAGATTCTATGATTCTGTGCTACAGAGCAAATGCCGCAGAGCAGTTTTGTGTTAAAATTGCCTTTGGTATGGCGCTGGCCAGACCTTAACGAGAATTCTAAATAAAAACCTACTACAGTCTTAAATTATAATTTTTTAAAGAAGATCCTCAAGACACCTCCATTCTTAAAGTGAAGAATACTCATTATCTACACTGCTATGAAGTATCATCTGGAATGCTAAAGTGCTAGTGGCAACATGGAAAGAGACTATCGGTTTTGTGCCGTATTTATGCTTTTAAATAAGAAGGGCAGATCAGCTCATCCCAGCCTGATTAGTTTTTGTTGAAACTCAGATGCTCGGGACAGCTTCCTAATTATTTATCACATTTTAACTATAGCAGCTTTGCTTTCTGCTTGAGTATTGAGGGAGGCATCCACATCAAGGGGAAATGATACCCCTTAGCAATGCTGTGGCTTAGCTTTCTTTCTCTTTCTCTTCTTTTTTTTCTTTTTTGTATTTAATATTCTGGAAGTCTGTGTTCTACATTAAATTTTTTCTCATTACTTTTAAAACAGCAGTAAGCATAATTCCCTCCCCAGAGGCACGCTCAGCAGGTGGCTCATTAAAAATACATACCTTGATTTTTTAGTAAGCAGCTCTCCTGCAACAAGAACATATATTCATTTTCTACAATCTGCTTCCTAATTATAAACCCTAATAGCTCGTGTTCTTCTTGGTAACCTTAAAATATTAATTGCAAAGACTTGGGTTTCTGAAGCACATAAAGCACCGCAACTGAGATCTTTAAGTTCAAAAGTACAGGCGCAGCCATGGAAATGTACGGGGAAGTAGTTGGTTCCAAGATGTGTATTGCACGTAGAGACTGAGGCAATTTGACATAAATATAATGAGCTGCTTCTAATTTATTTATTGTTTTGAAATTCTGCAGGGAGAACAGGTTATTTGCAGCAATAACTCATGCATTCACACTTAGTCCTTGCAACAGACACCGACGAAAATATCTCCAGTTTTCAAATTTAATCCACCTAAATCCAAGCCACTGTGAGAGATGGTGGGTCTTTGCCCTCCCCTAGTGGCAGCTAGAAACCGCGCTTGTCTTTTTAGAACAGTGGATTCCAAACGTTACTATTATTATTTTGCAACTGAGCTTGAATGGATTCTGCATTTATTTAACATCATATTAGCTAAATTTTCCTGGGGGAAAACAAGGTGACGGTTGCTGCACTTTTTGCAGTAGTTACTTTCGCTAGCCAACCCCCAAGAATAGCTCCTGCTCAAAATGCCTCTGGAACACCTGTGGTTGCTTTCATAGGTATATTGTGTGGCTTTGGAGATTTGCTAATATTAGTTTGCCTCCTGTTCAGTGCCTAGCTGTTAGCTCCACTCCCTGTCAAGAAATCCACAAGCTTCCATTTGGCAGCAATGCCTCCAGCGTTTACTTTAAGGTGGCTCGGGGTTTCCCTGAGGCGCGCTGAATATAGTTGCACTTAACTGAGGATGTCCAAAGCGGGAAGGGGAGCTCCACCCTAACTTTTAATGTTCCTAGGACTGGCTCTGGGGCCTTGGCTATACAGCTTCAAATAAAACATTTAACTGTGCTTTAAGTGCAATATACAATGTGACAATAGATGGCGATGGTGAGCCTTACGGAAAATTCAATGTATTTTTAAAAACACTTTTAAAAAATAATTTTCAGAATGGTTTTTCTATGTGTGTAGATTTCACCCAGGTTTGAGGGTGCTCTTGGCAAAGTACCCTGTTTGGACCTCCTTCCATCCATGCGGGTTGGCCCGCTTGAGATTCATGGAGAACTTATTTCACACTGTGGCACAGATGTGGGCTTTTCATGTCTTGTTTTTAGCTGTAGGAGATGGCAAAGCTTCTGAGAGCCATGTTGTTTTTTTCCTGGCACCCATCATCCCACCCCCACAACCCCCACTCTGATGTAGTGTCAATTCACTGTGGGGAAAGCACAATGGTGGCCACTAAAGCGAAATCTTCCAGGGTGAAAGCTTTGAAGAGGCAAGTTTCTGTGAGGTGTACCCTGTTGGTGCTGTGACAGGAACCCAAGGTTGCTTCATGCTGACACTAGATTTGCATGTGCCTGTCAAGGACATGAGGCAAAATGGCAACCCATCCCCTTGCAGTCAGAATAATGCTGAAGACTCTTTAGCCTTTACCTTGTTTATTTGACAGTGGAGCTGTATTATATTATTTATTGGGAGGGCTGTTGCTTCTTTATAGCCGCTTACCTATAAAGGAAGCTGTGTGCATGCATGTACTCAACTCCTCCCTTTTCTTTTCAATTGAAAAAACAACAACAAAAAACAGTCAAAGCTTGCAAGTATAGATGTGGAAGAAATTTAACTGAGTTCACATTTAAAGGCAAATCTACCAAATTCACACTTTTGGAAACAATACACAAACCAGGAAACAGCCATCTTTTGAAATTTGCACTTCTCTGAATGTTACAGCGCAATTGTGCAGCCAACTAATGTTTACAAAAAAATGCACTTACTGAGGTAAAATGTGCATAAAAATGCATACCTGTGTGGAAAAAATAACATACAAAAATGCATTATATAAGGCAGCATTGCCTTCCAAAAATGTGTACATTGTACAAAATTGGATATAAAAAAATTGTGTATATCATGAGAGATTTGCACTAAAATGCTGGTGAATGATCGGGCGGAGCTTTTTTTTAAAAAAAACACCACAATCTGATGTGAAGAACTGAACTTAAGCTTGGAAACTGGAAGAAACTGAAACTGACAGATTCCCTACTTGCGAGTCAAGACTTCCTTCTTTGGCAGTATTTGTTTTGGCCATGTAATTCTGGAGATGCCTCTCTTCTTGTGCAACACTGGAATAGAGAGCAGCAATACATACTGATGAAATGGGAGGACGCTAACGAGAAGTAGTTGGCACAACTCTCACACTGAAATTTGAACAAGGTTGCTTCCTATTCCTCACTGTTTACATGGCGGGTGGGGAAGAGACTGGATGACTCTTCCCTGAAAACTGTTTGCATGCACAAAAAAGGCTGAAGTACAGGGAAAGTATTTGAATATTTTTTAAAAAATATAGCCTTAGGAATTACATTTTTAATTACATTTAGCTGCAAAGGTAAGACAAAATAACCAGAGTTAATCAGGTTTTGCTAGGCCTTTTGGGTTGCAATGAAAGTTTTATCTACTTCCCGAGGATACAATTTGAAATTAATCCTGTGATGAACATAGGGTTTATTCTGATTCTTCAGAAATTTGTGCTCTTTGACATTCAGGGCCATTTAACATGTTATAGAAAAGGTGGAGGCCGGGATTGACCACATCATGATGATGATGATGTGTAAAGCCTATTTTCCTGTCAGAAAGTACATAGTAACTGTCCCTCAGCAGTGCAAAATCTTTTGAAGGAAGTTGTTGGTCTTGGTCTTTGTAGCTCAGTCCTTTAACCACACATCAGTAGGACCACTCCCTCTCACATTTGATCATCCCCCCCCTTTTTTTTGAGGAAAACTGTAATAAAGAAAACCTATGAGGAACAGTTGAGGGAATGGGGTAGGTTTAGCCTGGTAAAGAGGAGACTGAGAGGAGATATGGTAGCCACCTTCAAATATCTAAAGGGCTGTCACATGGAGGATGGAACAAGCTTGTTTTCTCCTGCTCCAGAGGCTAGGATCCAAACCAAAGGATTCAAATTACAAGGAAGCAGATTCTGACATCAGGAAGAACTTTCTAATGCTCAGAGCTGTTCAACAGTGGAACGCAGTCCCTCATAAGGTGATGGACTCTCCTTCCTTGGTTGTTTTTAAGCAGAGGTTGGATGGCCATCTGTCATGGATGATCTAGTTGAGATTCCTGCATTGAAGGCAGTTGGACTGGATGACCCCCAAGGTCCCTTCTGACTCTACAATTCTATGATTCCATGATTCTATGACTTCCCCTCACCAGCCAACAATGTGAACCCAACCAAAGTTTGTAGCAGACACTCGCATATAGGCCTGACCTATGACACCTGATCTTTAAAAACCCCTACCTACGTCTTCCCTGATGGGCCACATTTTAAAAAAAAAAATTGTAGAGAAGCTATGCTTGCACGTGCCTTATGAGATATGCCAGTTGTACAGGAGTCCATCTTTCTGGTATATTTGTGCCACCACGTCTGCTTTTAATTCTGGCTAGAGAGCTCCAGGCCAGTTATCCAGCTGGGAGAGCTTTCTCATCACCGTGGGCAAGGGCAACTTGCTTTCCTCACATTTTCATGAAAATGTGTGCATCTGAACCCCAAGTGGCTTAGTTGGCAGGAAGGGTTAGGAGATGGAGCAACAGTCCCTTAAGAATGTCACTAAGTCATTCCAAAATACAATTCCAAATGGAACAAACATTTTTTTTAAAAAATCAATAATGGCAGGATATAAGGGAGAAAGGAAGAATGGGAAGGTATGTCAAAAAACAACAACAACAGTGCTGATTAACCAGTGCAAGCACTTCTCATTAGTGAGTAGGAGGTCCCTGTGAGGTTTAAGGCATTCCCAGGTATCTCGTGAATGGTGCCTTTGGGTGGTCAAGGAGGATGACAGATATTCAAGGGTACCATGTTGTCTATTTGTCAAGTTCAGCCATGAGGAGCAGCTGGATAGGGTTGATCAGTTGGGACAGACCCACATATTATCTTTAAACAAAAACAAAACACGCTTTTTAAAGCCCCAAACATATATTTCAGAGCATGTGCTGCACCACCTTTCTGTAATTTAATGAGACCTGTTGGAGTTCTGTGAGGAATTTAATGAATGAATTATTAGAGAGTGCTCTGAGGCTTCCTTTCTTTATGCAGGGGCATATAATTCCAGTGTGCTTCAATGTTGTGCTATAGTAGGATGACTCAGTTTGTCCTGATGCAGAGGACCACTCTGCTTTTTAAAAGAGATCTCCAGATGCACTTATGCACAGCTGGTGTTTGGGGCATTCTTTCTTCCTGGACCTGGAGTGTGTCTCCAAGTTTAATTCAGAAAAATTGATGTGTCTCAACACTGTTATATTTATACCATTAGGGGAGTAGGTTGGCCTCTTTCTGCATTACTGCCAAAGGGCTCTCATCCCATAGCCATAATCACTTTTTATTGGGAAAGAAAGTTGTTGGAAGCGCTAAGGGAGTGTTTGTAGCAGCAAACACGGAGTTACTGAAAGCAATTGTCCTAGGAAAGGTAATACTGCTAGGTGCTGAAAAATAATCAGCAGCCCAGAGAGCATCTCTGAATTATTTTTAGCTGCTCGGTGTTTATATTAAGAACAAGAATGAGCTAATGCAGAGGCAAAGTCCAAAAATGACAATGTGAAGTGCCCTTGACATTGTGTGTATTGTGCCTATTATTTTTCTTCACCTGATATATGTCGGATTTCCCCCCCTTCAGGTGTTTGGCTCATGATGGATGTACATTCATCCTTGCTTGTGCGCGCATGTGTGCATGCACAAACACATGTGCATGATCAAGCTGAAGTTAAGCACTTTTAAGTTCTTTGATTTTGTTGGGGAAGATTTTGTTGTCCATGGCTTAACCTGCAGCGAGCCTTCATCCTAAGGGGTCAATCTATGCCAACTTGGTCCTTTACAAGACATTAGCAAAACAGCCGCCCGGAATGGAAACCGGTGCACAAATAGTTCAGTATCTAATTTGAACTACCCCATCTGCAAGGACAATCCCACTTGATACATTGCTGTGCAAAACAGATGGTGATGACCTGCTGAAAATAAAACGTCCGCTGTTCTTTTTTAGTTTAACAACACAGAAGCTGAGCAGTGCTTTTATGAAGGAAGTTTGGTTACTGTTCATTTGTTTTACTATGAGGGCCTCTTACAGATCCTTCAAGTGTCCCTATTTTCCAGGGACAGTCCCAGATATAGAAGCCGTCTTGGTTTCTGATTTGACCCCGGGAAGTCACATTTTTCCTTAGGACGTCCCTATTTTCATTGGAGAAATGTTGGAGGGTATGGAGTAATGTGACCCCCTTGAGCTAAGGAGATAAGTAACCATACAACCTCTAGAAGACATCTGAAGGCAGCCCTGCATAGGGATTTTGTTATGTTTAATGTTTTTTTATGTTTTTATATAAGTTGGAAGCTGCCCAGAGTAGTTGGGCAGCCCAGTCAGATGAGTGGGGTATAAATAATAAAATTATTCTGCAACGAGATGTTCTTATTTTCAACCTCTTTCTCTGGTTTTATAAAAGCATTGCAGAGTTGCATTTGGGGGGAAATAGCAACAGCCATATGGCCCAAGTGTTTTATCCTTGGGTAGATCATCTCCCAGCTCTGAGCGTTTTAAAAATACCTTTTTCCTCCCCACACCCCTCCCTCAGGTTGTTCTTCCCAATATAAACAAGACTTCCATGCAAGCAGTTCTGGATTATCTGTACACCAAGCAGCTATCATCCAGTCAGGAGTTGGATACGCTTGAATTAATTGCACTGGCAAACAGATTTTGCCTCCCACACTTGGTTGCGCTTGCAGGTAAGGTTTCTCTCTCTTTACAGGTGTCGCCTTCAGCTTCCTGCCAATGATGTTGAAATTGTCAGCTGTTGTTTTTTTCCACGATCTTTGGGCAAAAACAGGCACGCAGTGTTTCTTCCTAAAATCAAACTGCAGTACATATTTTCAGTTAGAAAAACATAATTGCTTCCTCCACTCTTTTTCTGTGCTGAGTTAATTTAGCCCACATTCTTGTGTATGCTTAAGCGACAAAACACAAATAAGTGTCTGCAATTCATAATGCCCATTAGGCAACTTGATTACTCTTAATTGAAAGAGCATGAACACTAAAGTTTCCATTGCAAATTCCTGTTTTAAGGGTCTAATAATGGAGCTTGGGCAATTTTAAATTAATCCAGTTCAAGCAAGTATTGCATAAAAGAGCAGTCCAAGTTACTTTTACTGCTCTAATCTGATGGTTAATTATTTTGTTAGTGATATGATGATAGTTAATTCCAATAATTGCTTATTTCCTCCCCCCGCCCTCCAATTGTTTCAAAGAGAAGTGGCTGGAAGCAAGATTGTTCCATGACTTTAAAAAAAGAAATCTATGTCAGCCCAAATAGTAGTGTTGTTTTTCCTTGGGCAGTCTTGCAATGGATGAAAAGCAGTTGAAACAGGGGCTGGAGGGAGCTAGATTTATTCTGCACAGTAAACTGGTTTGTGTTTCTCTTCAACCCCAACAGAGCAGCATGCTGTGCAGGAGCTTACCAAAACATCAGTGAGTGGTGTTAGCATAGATGGAGATGTGCTGTACGATTTGGAAATAGCCCAGGTTAGTATTATATATTATCTGTGGTCACATGGGGGGGGGGAGGAACTCCCTGATGATGAATGTATAATGCTTGGAAGGTTGCTGTTTCCCAAGGATCAAAAGAATATTTCAATTTTTAGAAAGCCTATGTGATGATAACCATGGTTACTGAGACTTGATACCTTCCCACCAACCTGCTATTTCTTTAGAAAAGTCAGTACATCATCTTAGGAGACACATGTTCCCAAACCTGTGTTTGCTGAGATAATGCAGGGGTGGGGCATCCATAGGAGAGAATGAGAGTGGTGCTTAACTCTTTCCCTGCCCACTGATTCACCCCTACAATTGCACACTCACGCATTTCCCTCCCTCCCAAAAGTTGGTCGTAATTCTGGTCTTGGGAGACCAGCAAACACTGAATAAATACCATGGGGTTCCAGGCGGTCTGCTGCCTCGGTACTTTATTTTCATTGACAAGCTGGAAGCATAAGAATCTGCCTTAACACTGAGTCATAGTATCATAGAATTGTGGAGTTGGAAGGCGCTGCATCACACCATTTATTCATGTAAAGATTATGGTCAAACTAAGACCCCAGGATCCTTTTCACAGGTGCTGCTGTCAAGCCAGATGTCCCACATTCTATAGTTGTGCATCTGATTCTTCCTACCTAAGTGTAGAAACTTACATTCTACAGTCAGGTCATTGGTACATCTAGCTCAGTAAGGCCTACTCTGACTGGCAGTGACTAGGATTTCAGACCAGGGTCTCTCCCAGTCTTACCTGAAGATGCCTGAGACATAGCCACCCAGAGTGGCTGGGGAAACCCAGCCAGATGGGCGGGGTATAAATAATAAATTATTAAATTATTATTTTGCATGCAAAGCAGATGTTCTGTCACTCAGCTTCAGCCCTTCCCCAGCAGCTTTTTCAATTAATTTCTGATTGTGAATCCATCTGCAACCCTGACTCAAAGTAGTTAGCTCTGCTCTGGATCCCAAATTTGTTTGGGGGGGTGAGGGAGGTGCTGTTGCACTTTTGGTTTTCAGCCTTGCTGGTTCCATAGTACTGTATCTGTGGCTTTGTCAGTTTTTGTCACGTGCCACTGTGATGTCTCAATCCCTGAGTAATTCTCACTTGCCTTTAACTTCAGAATTGTTCCACACACTGACCGTTAACTCTACAGAATATAAATTCGGTTCTCTTCTTTTCCAGTTCCACAATGCTAACCAGCTGGCGGCTTGGTGCTTGCACTATATCTGCACCAACTACAACAGTGTTTGTTCCAAATTCCGAAAGGAAATCAAAACTAAATCTCCTGGTAAGGCCGTTTAGCAAGCTTTCTCCGCCTTTTCTTCCAACCTTTGTACATCTGCCTTTTCTCTATTCTAAAGCTGGGGGGGGGGGCTACGAGTCAAGTAAATTTACATGCTCATACATGCATTTTTGCATTGTTTCATTTGGCTCCCAAGACCCAGGTTTTCATTGAGCTTTTGGCAAGGTTTGGGTTGGCAGAGAACAATGGGAAGGGAAGGGAGTCTCTATGGCGTTGTCATCTAATTATTCAGACACAGGACACCTTGAAATCTTCCAGTGCAGTGAGAAGCAGCAGGAGCAACCTCAGCATCTTATGCCCATTCATTTTCATCCCCCCCCCACCTTTAACATGAAATCCTTCTCACCACATTAGGTGAGATAGGGACCAAGCATAAAGGCCAGGAGGCAACAGGTAGAAGGAGCTGCATCTACCATATCTCTCCCTGCATCAGGAGCCATGCCCAGAGTTCTATTTACCTGTATTAGGCATGCTGCTGCCGTGTGTGATCCTTTGGTTTTAAGATAATCTAGGCCTGGCTGAATTGACCAAAGTTTGAATTCAAGTTGGAAGGTTGCAAAAAGTGAATGACGGCAGGAAGTGAATCGGAGGTGAAGTGTGACAGAGATGGAACAGAGGTTTAAGAAAGGGCAGACAAACATATATTGATTTGGGGATGTGTTTACAATTAGTTAAACTGTAGCCTGAAATCCCAAACTTTTGTTACTTGATGGCCTTTGTGGCTTTCACAAAAGACATTATGGATATGGCTTCAGAAGACAACCCTATTTGTCAGGGGTCAGCAAACTTTTTCAGCAGGGGTCTGGTCCACTGTCTCTCAGACCTTGGGTGGGGTTTGGGGGGGATGAACGAATTCCTATGCCCCACAAATAACCCAGAGATGCATTTTAAATAAAAGGACATATTCTACTCATGTAAAAACACGCTGATTCCTGGACCATCCACGGGCCGGATTTAGAAGGTGATTGGGCCGGATCTGGCCCCTGGGCCTTAGTTTGCCTACCTATTTACTAGAGATTGAGATGCATGTGAATTTCATTGATAGCATTGCTCTCCTCCCCATGTAGTAGTAGTTACATGAGAATAATATTGCTTTCTACTTAGCCTAGCCTATGGATTTGAAAGGAATTGGTTTTGCTCCATTAGCTGGGGGGGGGGAATATTTATATGCACTGGATTTGTTTTGAACTTCCTCTTTTTTATTTGATCATTAATACTTTGCGTTATAAATATTGATAGTACTGTTTAAACATCAGGCAACCTGCCTAGAAGCTTATTCAGTGTGGCAGCAGAATTATACCTGGCCATCATTCCCTGAGGGGTGGCTGCCTCTGGAACCATCTCACTTCCACTTACTGGATATAACATCAAAGCAGTATATGCATGCATAGGCTCAATAATCCCTTATATTTATCTGGTAATATCTGGGGTTATGGATCACAGGTTGACATTAGATTCTTCCCACATGTCACTTGTATCATGGGTTGCTTCGCCCATGTATCACCTCCTAAGAGGATTTTAATTTTTTGCTGCGATGCTAAAATTCACCATTTTCTTTTTTTAAAAATCAGACTTGTCTCACAATTTGTCTGACATCAGAACAGAGCTATTATGTATTGCTGTTGTATGTGTACTTCTTTTATTTCTGCAGCATCTCTTATCATTGCAGAGTTCGAATTTCTATTTTTAAGCTATTGTATTCTAGCATTTTATGTTTTGTAAATACAGTTTGCAAATACCTATTTTTTCAGTTTCTCTATTATCTGAAAATGCAAAACTAAAGAGAGGAGAGCTTAGTTCTCCATCACAGTTTTGGAATTACACATATTGCCAGTCATGTACCATGAGAACTAGAAACATGACATATTTATTTGAAAAATGAAGCCTGAGATTTTCTGGGATTTTTGCACAAGATTTCAGATTCTGGTATGTAGAAGTAACAGTCCTGGATATACTGGGTTGTATCCAACATAGCTCTAAGTAACTACTTTTCTTAACTGCCTTGATGCCATAAAAACTAATTTCTAACTATTAGCAGAATTAAAATGTTGTCCTAGTTACAGAATTCATTAGTTATTTGGGGACTTCTTTGTTGTTGTTTTTTAATACAGATAATCAGGAATATTTCGAGAGGCACCGCTGGCCTCCTGTGTGGTACCTTAAGGAAGAAGATCATTTCCAGCGTGTTAAAAAGGAAAGAGAAAAGGAAGACATTGCACTGAATAAACATCATTCAAAACGAAAGTGGTGCTTCTGGAATTCCTCCACAGTTGTTGTCTGAGAAAAGGAGAGGCAAACCTATCAATAGAGTGGCTTGGAGAACATTTCTTTAGAGGAAGTCTTATCATGAAGGAGAGCACCTCAGTCCACTGAGAACCATTCTTGTACCAGATGCCATTGAAGTAAATGGGAGTTCATTTCAGTGGTGCTTCCACCGAAGTTTCTGGTGGATTGTGCAGAAGATGTTTGGGGCACTTGTTTCTATTCCACCTGTGTGCATTTATCATCTCTAAGGTCAACAAGCACAAGCTCACCTGAAGTGGGTGTGAAACTGCTCCTTAAAATGTCAAACGTTTGTATTTTTGTTTGTTTGTTTATAAGCTAAAATACTGTGTAAAATCAGTATTGGTTTTCTTTTTCTTTCTTTTTTTATACAGACCGACAACAAATCCCAGCAATTAATATTTCAATCTCCAAAGTGGACAGTATTTTTATACAGTTGTGTATGTATGTGAAGGTCTTTATTTCAGCATTGTTCTTTCACAGACCACAGGTATTGTGGAACTCTTTGATTTAGACTATGTTTCTTTTGTTTCTCCTCTTGCAAGTACAATGAAATATGATGAACATCTTTGACAAACCTCCCTGGCTTAAATTGCCATCCTAGCAACAAACCAACTCTTGCTAGGCAACTGACTCCCCCCCCCCCTTCTTCCCAAACACTATGTATTCACAACAATTAGATCCTTATTCTTTCTGAAGTAATGGGATGTAACATGATCCAGTGACAACAAAGTTATACAGAATTTATATCTTTTTTTCCCCCAGCTGAAGAATATGAAGTGTAATTTACCTTTTCAGCTGCACCCAATGTATTTCCAGTATTTGCCATGCAAGGGAAGAATGCAACAGCCGTGTGAAATTTAATACTTCCTCTTTTATGCGTTCCATGGCTTTCAATGTCTTTATTTTCAAAAGGACCATTTAAAAATAATTAGAAGACCTCATTACGCTTATGTCTTTATCCACTGCAGATTTCCTAGGGACCCAAACCTAAAGGCAGTAAGACTTTTAGTTAATTACTTGGTTTGTTTCTTTATAGTTGTCTACGCCTTTTAAAGAAATATCTGTATATTTAAAACTGTTTGCTTGCTTGTTGAATAGCCACATGTTAAGTAAGGGCTGTGGAGATAAGTTGATCCCTTCCCTTATATTCATATAGGAGCGACCCACCCACCTATTCACGATCAATGGTATTCTGGCCCAAATAATCTCCGAGCACCGAAACAGACATGATGGCAGCGTGGGCAAACTGCTTGCCTCTGTAAGATGTTCCATGTGCATCATCAGGCATCAATGCGCTTTGAGCTGGTCCATCCAGGTGTAGAGTGCGCACCCCAGAGGTCTGTGGTGGATACACCACAACTGTGCCACCTGTAACAAAAGAAGTGCCACCTGTAACAAACAACTGTGCCACCTGTAACAAAAGAAGGGTTTTTGCAGGCAGGCTTATATGGAGAAGCCCATTACCCATGGTTGCTGTCATGTCAGTAAGGTGTACAAGTATGTCTTGCCTTTTTAAGCCAGTGTGGTGTAGTGGTTAAGAGCGGTAGTCTCGTAATCTGGGGATCCGGGTTCGCGTCTCCGCTCCTCCACATGCAGCTGCTGGGTGACCTTGGGCTAGTCACACTTCTCTGAAGTCTCTCAGCCCCACTCACCTCACAGAGTGTTTGTTGTGGGGGAGGAAGGGAAAGGAGAATGTTAGCCGCTTTGAGACTCCTTAAAGGGAGTGAAAGGCGGGATATCAAATCCAAACTCTTCTTCTTCTTCTTTAAATATGCTGCAAAAGATATTCCAGGAAAAGCTCCCTTTCCCCCAGAATTTTTTATTAAAAGTTTTCACAATACAATAAAATTATATCTAGAACTAATGAAGTAAAAAGAGAGAGAGGGAAAAGAGAAACGACAAAAAAGAAGTTTGTTGTTTTAATAATGCATGCACAGCCTCACACCAAGCTTACAACGCTTTGAGGCTTTTCTGCATCAAGTCTTAATATTTTAGCAGTAAACTAGATAATTCCTTTCCAAAAGAGCCAGTGTAGTATAATGGGTGATGTGCTGGACTTAGGAGGCTTGAGGTCAAATCCCTGTTCAGCTGTGAAGCTTACTTCTATGACCTTGCAGCCATCTCTCTCTCTCTCTCTCTCTCTCTCTCTCTCTCTCTCTCAGCCTAACCTACCTTACAGAGTTGCTGCAGGGATAAAATGCAACATGTGCTCCATTTGGATGCATAGCAACTGGATAGCTCAGTTGGTTAGAGTGTGGTGCTGATAACGGCAAGGTTGCAGGTTTGATCCCCGTACAGGACAGCTGCATGTTCCTGCATTGCAGGGGGTTGGACAACATGATCCTCAGGGTCCCTTTCAACTAAACAATCCTATGATCTCTGTCCTCTGAGCTACTTGGGGAAGGATAACATAAGAGAGCTCTTAAAGACTGCCTTTCAAGCAGGGGAACATTCACAGCCAGCAACTGATCACCACCACCACCCAGCCTAGGTTTATGCACTAAATGGTGGACTCCTCAAATTGTTTTCCACTCACACCAGTTTTGGTTTGAAGCCTGTCCCATCGCTTTCATTCCCTTATCTTTGGCAATAGTCCCACTGGCAGTGATGCTAATGTTCAATAGTAAATGCACTACTGCATATTATGTGGTGGCATTTCATTTTGTGTGTGAAGTGTTTGAGACCTAGCCTAGACGTTACTTTGATGCCCCAGCTGTTTCCAACCATGTGGAAGAGCAGCATGCTGGGAGTTTCCCAACCCCCACATTGGCCACCAATTAATATGGAGAATTAGGGAGGGAAATAAATATTTAGGAGGTGAGTATTGCAGACTGGAGGCGAGTGAACACTATGAGCAGGCAGAGTGGACGAAGGTGGCATCTTAGCATGCCCTGAACTTTGCCACAGAAGGTAGATGTGGTTAGAGCTATGAGCATTGTGCTTAGGCCAGGGGTGGGGTGGGAGCAGTGGCAGAAGCTTTAGAGGAAAAACAAAGAGTCGCTTATTCCTGCTATACGTATAGTTCTCCAGTCAAGCTTATCAACTGCATTTTGTTGGTTTCCTTTGTTCTCTCCTGCAGATGCCTCAACATGCCCTTTGGAAGAGTTATCCCATTTTCTGTTCCTACTAACCCAACCTTGAGTCCAAACCAGGTTGCTAAGGACAGGAAAAGTGGCAAAGCCCACCCAACTTTCCCAAATAATTCAGGTTCTGGGTGATAGATGAAGCCAGAACCTCTGGCAAGGACAGAAAGAAATAGGTTTCAGTGTAGAAATTAAAAGACCAGCTCCATTTACCCAAAAGGAATATTGTTGCACTCTGATAAAGGGCTATGAAGCAAAAAAATGACTGCAAGCTGGATGGTATAAACTGATGGTCAGTAGTAGAGTGTTCATCATTAGCAAAACCACCGTTTCTGAGGCTCGAATTTCATGTGAAAGGAACAGACCTGTTATTTTAAGCTTGGGTCCGTGAGGGCCTCCTTTGTAAAGCAAAAGGAGTACCCTAACTGCAACCAGTTGTATCCAATATTAGGTAGTGATGGGGGGGGAGGTCCTATGGAGAGAGAGAAGGGACAAAGTACACAGGAGGCACAAGGTGAGAGCGCTTAGCTCCCTTTACCTGTGAAGCAGTTGATACTTGCTATATGGGTTGGGGGCAGATCATGATTTAGACAAATGGGTCTGTGCCATTCCGTGTAGATTGAGCCTGAATTATATTAGCAGGTTATATGTTTTGATAAGTATTACTAAAGTTTTACCAAACCAAAGCTTCTCTATGATTGTAATCTTGCCAAACTGACATGGACGTGCATAAATGAACCAGGGGTATATGCAATAATAACCAGCTGTATTAGTTATCAGCTACTGTAACCAAGTGGCTGGTTCATTTGGTTTAATTCTGCCTTTGGCCTTTAATCTTGGTGGGGGTTCTTTTTGTTTTATTTTGCAAAAAACAAACAAAAAACAACCTCAATAAAAAAATTGTTTAGCTATAAATGTTTCCTGATTATTTGGTCTAGTTTCAAATCGTTACAATGAATCTTTTACCTTTAAGATGCTTTTCTCCAAAATATGTAGCCAGAAAGTATTGCATGTTGAATATTTCAGGGCGGGTTTATTCTTATCAGGTCAGGGAAGAACACCGACAAGCTAGAGTTTGCACATAGTCCTTTTCATTCAGAACCGGTGAAATTAACTGTTCCATTGCTGTTCCCTATATAATTTTTCTCCCCACCAACACCAGTCCCTTTGTGTTCAGGGAACCTTGTGAGTCCTTGAAGCTTTATCGAGAGAAGACAGACTCCGCCTGATGTTTTGCTCTGACTGTAGAGTTCTACAGTCTCCCAGCCTGGCTTTCACAACAGGTGGGTTGTTGTTTTAACCCCTGTACTTTGTTAGAATGGTTATGCCCACCTCTTCACTGTCATCATTCCAGGACCTAACAATTTCACCCTTACATGGCAATGGTAGGATCCCTCCTATTTCCTACATATTCTACATTTGGTGAGTAGCAGAGGAGCAAGACCACACTAGCCTGCTTTAAATCTACTTTTATGTGAGATGAGGTTCTATCTACTGGTTTCACATTTGACCACGTGCATGGAAACAAGCAGGGAGTGGTGGGAGCAATCCTTTCTCTTGGGTGTATTTGCTCTGTGCACAATATGCAGAAAAGCGGTACAAAATTTTGTCCACGTTAACACTTGACACACACAAACTCTGCTTGACTGTGATGCGGCAGAATTGCACCGCAGCATGATGCAGAACATTGCAAGATTATGCATACTGATGGAGAAAAGGAATAGGCAGCTTTTCTTGGTATAAAAATGCAAACCCATGGCTTTCCATGCTCCCTCTGATTTTAAAACAGCTGCGTGTGGTTTTTATAGACTGTGTGCATACACATGCATGGGCAGATACAAAGTGGAACAAGCAACAAGAAACATCCTCCATTTTGGATAAGCGGACAGATTTCACTCCTAGGTTTGTTGCAGTTTTATAGCTTACTATGTATTTGTCTCTAAAGTGTTTGTTTTTTTACTGACATTCTTCAAACATCATGCAGGAACTCCCATTAAAAAATAGCAGCCATATAGCAGCAATTTTCCTATTTTTACAGCTAGGCTCCTAAATTGCCAAAGTTAATCTTCCTTACATTTCAAGCCATAAAGGAAGTCGCCAAAAGATGTGTTTTAAAATGTGTTTAAAAATGCCTTTTTGGGGAGAAAAAGGTGAATTCGCTCGCTTCTTTCTAGCAGCCATTATTTTATGAACATATAGAAACTTGTCCAATACTAATTGAATGGGTTTCTTTTTAAGCGTCTCAGCAACAGCAGTGTTTGCCATTTCCTTCACCATGGAGGACAAGCTAGCTCCCACTCCTCTTCGGAAGTGCTGCCGAGCTCTCAATCACTTTAACAAGTGAATGAACATACAAATGCCGCCTGAGTTAGGTGT